GTGAAAACGGGCTATCAGATAACTTGCAATAACCGTAGCCGGATATATGACAAGATCTGTCAAGCGTCAAAAGCTAAATTAATGGAGAACAGAAAGGCTGTTAGGTACCGTAACGCCGATCATCATGGTTTTATTTTTTATGCCCTGGCCATGATTTCAACAGCAATGTAAAGGTAGCGGGCTCACTCCGGGAAAAAGTGACGCAGAATCGCTTCACATCCTGACAACAAAAATAACTTTCAACGGTTGCTTTGACTTCACCGATACTTCTGTGGTTTGGAGCAAGATTCATAGTTCAAGCGGCCACCGCTCTAGAATCATTCAATTCGGGTTAAATACGAACTGACCGAGAAGTTGATTTTATTTCGTGTTCATCCCCAGATAATGACCGATGCCAACTAGGGGAAAACTGAATTGTTGTTAAAATAACTATTTCCCTGTTTCTCGTACTGCCAACCATGCAATCAGAAAAGACCTATCACCTTCAGCACGTATCGACATGCGCCTCAGAAATTATTTACTAAACTTCAGCTTTACACACGTTCACACGGATGCCGACCAGTCGCACTCAACTACGAACATTTCGACAGAGAACGGAAATCAGTTGCGGAAAATGCCAAAACAAGGTTGTCTGCAAACCTCTTGTCCGTAAATTTTCCACGCCAATGGGTTTAGATCCAATATTAAAAAAATGTCCATTTTGGATCGAGCTGCACCCACCTTCAAGGGACATCAAACAAGAAATAAAACTGTCGAAGTAACTTCTACCGACAGGTGGGTCTAGCGAAATCCGCCTACCACTTCAGCTGCCTGAATACGATAGAACCGCGACCTACACAATGGAATTATCCTGCAGGGAACTAGGAAGGTGGGGGTAGTGCCATACACGATAAAATGTCTTGAGGAATTCTTCGATTGAAACAACTTCAGCATGAATAACTTGAAAAGAACCTACATACGCTGCTTTCGCAAGTTAAAATACACATAAAAAGGCTTTGTATTAGAACAGAAACCACACATGAGATTGCTTGTTTGTCATAACCTGAAGTTGAAATGCAATTAGGATTGAAAGAGAATCTTATACGAAGGCGTCATCGAAGGCGAACATCCTGTTATTATTCAGTTGCGCAGCATAATTTGAATTTTGTATCGCTTTTTGATGGCTTCCAAGTAAATTTTATAGAATATACAACTATGGAATTTTATGTTATAATTTTATTTGGTATTGGTGTAGCGGATTCACTTTATTTCATTCGTATCATACTTGTTTGTAAGTAATATTCTGCAACAAATTTGCATTCCGTGCTTGCTTGATTTAACAGTTAACAAATTTGTAAATAAAAAATAATAAACGACGTTCGACATTTTCACAGGATAGCCCAAGATTTTAAAGTAAATGCATTTTCATAAAATTCGAACAAATCTCACTGAGAAACAATCTGGCAAAAATCGCTGATGAAACAAGATCTGCATCGTATACATAGAAAGTAATGCAGAATGAAGCAAATAAATATGGAAAAAGCATAAGTCTTTTCAGAAAAACTATTCACAATTCTAAAAGCAAAAATTAATATTATGCACTATTTTACATTCAGCAGTTGCTGAGGTATTTTGAAACTCTGACTCTTTTGACAAACCTTAGCATAAAAGTTAACACGGCCCTGATCATAAAATATAAAACTATGCCGTTCTTAATTCTGGCTTGCCACTGAAACAAATAACAGAGTTTGTTTAGGACTGAACATCAACTTTTTTCAAAACAGAGTAGTAACTGTTCAATTACTTCACCATTCAAACAGCAAAGGTCGAATTCAAGGAACGGCTCGTGAATTTCAAAGCCTGATTGATGTGAAATCAAATCCGCAATTTGCTGCACAACAGATCTGTCTGTTTCAGTCATGATTTTGTGCTGTAAATCGGTTAGCAGTTCGACATTGCGATATTTTTGCGAATCATCACAACTTTTTATGCGCTTGGGGGAAGGAGTGATATTATTTGTACAAGGAAAGCGTATACTGCTGTCATTTTCAGTGCCGTTGCAACTGCTGCTGCCGTGACTAGAATCCGATGCAGTGGGGGAGACGTGGGAATTACGGTCCTGAGAATGCGTAGAACATGGCGAAAAAACGCAGTTTGCAGAGCAAGGAAATGGAGAGCAATCCTGCACGTTAGCAGCCGAACTCAGGTCGCTTTCCAAGCCGCTGTCACTCCTTCGCTTCTGTCGTACGTGCACGGGCGAATCACCGGAAACGACTTCCTTCGGTTTTCGCTTGCTCTTGTTGACTTTCAACTTGTTTTTGTCGGCGCCGATTTCCTCTTGTGTGCGGTTATGATTCACTACCTTCGAGCAATCCTTTGAAGCATTGCGCTCCGCAGCCTTTGAACAGTTTGAAAAACTTTCTTGCAAACAACTCCGGTTAGATGAACTGCTGCCAACAGAACTGTTGGTCTTCGAACTGCTGTTGGAAGTGCTAGCCTTCGAACATTCAGCAACGACACCGTCGCTGCTTTGGTGATTAGTGGTGGGTGATGGCGAAACCAACTTCGGATTTGAATGCAAATAGTGAGTAAATTGTGTCTTTTTCTTATCGCCGTGAGAATGGGAGCTATGAGAGTCTTCCCTTGTTTTGGAACTTTTCGTCTTCGAGCCTGCACCGGAATGAGAAGACTTACCACTTGAAAGGGATGACTTTTTTTCCTTTAAAATACTGGATTCTTTATAAGCATCTCCAGTCCTGACCGAATTCGCTGACGTGCTACATTTTTCTTTACGCGGCAGATGATTCTTAGAGCACTAAAAATTAAATATCAAAAAATAACATTAAATATTTTTGTTAAATAATTTCTCATTGAAATCTAATTGAAGCAGAGACGATAAATGTATGAAAAGATGAATCTATCTGAAGGTCAGTCTAATACCCATGTATTAAATACAGTTATGGGTCGAAGTTAAAAAATACAGCGAAGTAATTTATTTTGCTATTAAACAAAAGATTGCTCTGCTAGATAATAAACCTTACAGACTTTTCGTAGGCCCTTCGACTTAATTAGCAATAACTGCTTGGACTAAAGGGAAAATAAAAACGTAGTGAACTATTATAACCTGAAGAAGTCAATGAAATGCTATCCGGAATGCGTTGTTTTAAAAAAAAACTACCCTTTTATTGCATTTGTGACAAGCACTGAATACAGACATCGCGTGAATTACGAAATGCGGGCTATGCTTATTTAATGCATGCCTTTCCAATTCAGTCACAGCAGTTAAGAACAATCAGAAAAGCACCATTGCGAGATTTGTGGAACAATCTGTCTGACTACAATGCAACTGTCGGTCAGTCGGTCAGTCAATCAGTTTCGATGATCGCTTATCCTTACACGTCAGACAGTGACTCCAACGTTCACGATCCTGTCCTAGGCGCTTGAGCTTCGGCAGATGACAACCGGAGTCTAGAGCAAAATCCTTCTACACTATTCCCAAATTATTCTTAGCCGCACCAGGGGTCTACGGCCCCGTCACTAAGGCAAATAGCAGATGTTTCGCCTGTCAGTATCAAAGGGTTCGCAGGACATGCCCAGACTGTCGCAGCTGTAATTCCTCAATCTGAAGACACAGAAGCTATACAGCAAGGCTCTCTCGAATCATGTCGAGACGCGTGAACTCAGCGGACTGAGGCTTTTCAGTCATGAGTAGTGGACCACGATGATGGGAATAAAAATCGAATTGAACACAGGCAGCACAGTCTTCAGACTCAGTTCTGCTTTAGTCACAGCAGTTCGGGCCAGTTTGCGCAGGATAACCGCTTGGTATTTTAATTCTCCAGTCGATCTCTCCTCCCATTTTCCATCACCCGCAAACAAGAAAGTGAGGCACATTAACTTCTCTACCATCGTTTATCTGCAGAGCGTAACGGACAGGAGAACAGGAAAGTACTAGCCACGTAATCGTAAGAAAAAATTGTCCAACAAACCGCTGATGTTTTAAGTGGGTAAACGGTTTTCACTTCAGCCAGAAAATCACAAGATCAAAACAACATGGAGACATGAGACTGTTAAATTTAAAAATGAACGAAAGAACGCTGAATAACAATTAGACAATTATACGCGACTTGACTGAAAGAATGCATTGAACGTGCAAAGTGTACTTTAAAATCTGCCCATAAACCACTTTATATACAGAAACTCTACTCTTTGTAATCCAACTGCACTTCAGCAACTTGGCTAGGGTTCAGATTTATAAATCAGTATTTTTGGGATCTAGGAATCTGATCTGTCGATAGAATTCTGGAAATCACCAATCATTTTTGGGATACAAATGAAATTGCGATCACTGATATAAAACGTTAAAACAGAGCTACGGAAGTTTTCTTGTAAGAACTGAATCGTCAGTTAATATGAAGTAACAGTTTGCCACGGCGATCCTGAACGGAAACGAATTCCGTAAAGCAGACAAAAAAACTAAATTAAATCAAGACTTTCCTAGTGCTAGAAGATGACTGTAAAACTTACCCTTGATCTGTGCTGTAGTTCATACAGTTTGACGTCAGAGTAAGTACAATAAGAAACTAAAGTATGAGAAAAAGTTAGTGAACAAATATTAACCTTCATTTTTTCCGTAGGGACAACGTGTAAAGTTTCACCGAACAACTCCTGAAAACTTGTAGAAGTGGGAAGCGATGGTTTCGGTCGTGCAATGATGACCTCTGCCTGAAACAATACAGTAAGCTATAATTTCACAACATCCTTGTTACATTTATAACCGTACCCCAGCGTTAATCAACTTGGCTCGCAGATCCGGCTTAGGGTCTCTGAACTCCAAAGTCTTTATCACTTTTGTCTTATCTTGGGACACTAAAGAAAAAAATCATCATTGCATTTTTGAAAATCCTACGTCACTTTACCGTATCTCAGGTTCATATCGTATTCAAGGCAGAATTCTCTTTTGTAATTCACGAACGACAAATAAATCGGTATACTGAATCCGGCATAACCTGTTTCTGATACTTCGTAAGGAGGAGAGGTCACCACTAAATTAAATATTATTTATTCAAGTATTAAAACAGTACGAATACATACACTGTAAACACTTCATGAGTATCTCTGTAAATGCCGCATTAAAAATTCACCTTTAGAAGATTCATGACTATCTGCTTTATGAAGAATACAGTAACAAAGACAGTAATCATCAGTGCTAAACTACGCTTAAAGATGACGACATGATATACAGTTTTTGACATTTTGAGCCGTATGCTTCCATTTCTTGGGACTGAAGTTAAACAGAGTTTTCCTTCTATATTTCTCATGTCATCAATCCTCGGGTTGTCAATACCTTTCTTTACCGTAGCTCAAGTAGTCATACTCTTTCAGAAGAATAACGAAAAT